CGACAAAATCACCATGCTTCAAGTCCCTTTTGTGAGAGTGCCATCTAACGGCTCCAGTAAGCATGGTTTTTTTTGTGTCAAAGCACCTGATCTGTGGAAGAGTTTCTCCCAAGATTTAGATGACTCTATTATAAGGCTCTTAACACTCTTAAGGCAGTGTTTCTCAACCTTGGCGATTCTTAAGATCTGTGGACTTCAACTCCCAGAATTCCCCAGCCAGGACAGCTGACTGGAGAATTGTGGGAATTGAAGTCCGCAAATCTTAAAGTCTCGAAGGTTGAGAAACCCTGCTTTAAGACAAGGGTCTTCAAACTTGGCAAGTTTAAGACTTGTGGACTTCAACTCCTAGAATTCCTGAGCTAACATGACTGGAGGAGGAATTCTGGGAGTTGAAGTCCACAAGTCTTAAAGCTGTCAAGTTTGAAGACCCCTGCTCTAAGGCAATGTTTCTCATACTTGGCCACTTTTAATTTATGACTGGTTCTTGGTGCCAAGTTTGCTTGTTTTCATGGAGACATTTCATTAGGTAACATCAGTGCTAGTAAAGAGTACTGCTTGCTGTCTGTTTATACAATTATGTCAGTTTATACTGACCAAACTGCACTCTTTACTAGCACTGATGAGTTTATCCACTTGGGATAATGAAACTTCTGCAAGAAAACAAGCAAACTCGGAGAGCACCAAGGACCCCTCATTTCAACCGAGCTACAAATATCCTCCTTTATTGGTACTTTAAGCTATGTGAACTTCAACACCTAAAATTCCCCAACCAGGCTAAGTAGGACTTCTGGGAGTTGAAGTCCACACATCTTACAGTTGCCAAAGTTGAGAAACACTGCTTTAAATGTCGTTTGGCATATTGATTGGTCTCCTTGGTTAACAATTTCTTTTGTCTATTGTACCTTACGACTATCACTAAGTGTTGTAGCTTATGATTCTTGACAAATGTATCTTTTCTTTTATGTATACTGAGAGTATTTGCACCAAGACAAATTCCTTGTGTGTCCAATCACACTTGGCCAATAAAGGATTCTATTTCTCTTCTCTTGTATTGTATTTGATACGCTTTGCTTTTGTTTGTTACATCAGGTGGTCATACAAGTTGCAAGAATTAAGCCACAGTGGTCGGACTCATATGTTACACTAGATCAGGGGTGTGAACTTGTGTTGTCATGACTGCATCCACATCATGTGACATATTGCAACTTTCCCCCCCTTCGCTAAACTGGATGTGGGCGTGGCCAGTGTGTAACGCATCTGGCTTGCGGGCGATGAGTTACTAGATGGTAAACCATAGTTTGCAAACCTTAGGGAATACCTGGGTTCCTGTTGATGGATTGTAAACACTATTGCTTTACACAGTAAGCAAACTCATCTTCGCTGATCATCAGGCCAGACATATACTTCAGCAAAAATATTGTTCCTCTCAGAATAATGGAGTTTTAAGACAAACTAGTTTGCTAATGAAATCTGTTAGACAAGTATGTTTTTTGATATACAAGCAATGAACTTATTTTATGAATGTAGTTTGAACAGTCTGCAATCACATCACATGTTAACCCTTAATTTGTTTCATCATGGCTTGCAAGTAAGCAAAGCACATTTTGATGTAGGGGGCTGCACAACCCCAGCCACAGAGAGCCCAAAGCTTTTAAGTGTATTTGCACTTTTAGATACAAAAACCAGGAGTAACATTTCATTTGTTCTTGTCCTCTTACATCAGATTTGCTAAATATGCCCTTTGACAAGTACCCTTCAATATTGGACCAAGACTCCCCAATGTGTGTAACTCACAATAAGCTGGCTTCCTTTTCCCATGATATTTTACAATTCAAATCGGATATAATTTTATATGATTATTTTCTTCTCTACCTACTATCAATTCACTTTAACAAAATATGTAGAAAGGAGGATGTAAAATAGTGGCTAAGAATGTGATTTGTACTATGCCTGTTTATGCAATAAAATACATTAAAAAGAGGTATCTTCATGAAGAGTTTTTCTTACGTAGTAATTGGCTATTGCAACCCAGATGTGGTTTATTTTTTTAAAAGAAATGCTCTATTGCTCATTTTCACTAAATAGAATTGGAAACAAAATCTGGTTTTGTTCTAGATGATTTAGCAACTGAATAATGTTTTAAAAATCCAGATAGTTTTCTTAGCTATGAATCATTATGCCAGAACAAATTGTTACAATATGTTGCCTATCACAGGTTTATTACAAAAATTCTTAAACTGAAATAGTAAAAGGTTAGCAACATTATCCAATAGCGTAGAAAAATACCTGTGTGGCTCACAACTGATTGCAGCACCTGGCCAACCTTGGCTGATCTTAAAAAGCTTAGGAGAGTTGGACCAGAAAGTCCTAAAATGGAAGATTACCAGGAAATCATGGGGATATAGGCTACACTGGGGAGGGGAGAACTCTGCAAAAGACAACGATGGCAGATCATTTCTGAATTGTTGCTAAAAAGTTATGTTTTGTGACCAAATATCAGTTTCAGGGAAATTTTGTGTGCCCTATTTCCCACATTACTCATGATGATAACATAAAGTTGTGTTCTTCACATTTACAATGCTCAGAAGCAAAACGTGTTATAAAGGTATTAAAAGGAATAAAGACGGCCTTTCTTCCCACTTCAACCATTGTATGTGATCATTTCCATTTCACTTTATGACCATAAGAATTTTATAGGAATGGTTTGAATTAAATGTCTACATGTCTACTTTATTATAACACAAAAAGGAGGTTTATTTTGAATTCCCATTGTTTCTTTCAGAAGAAAAGGTATTGCTCGTGTCAAATATCTCTGTAAATCAAGATTGGGATTTAAGTATTATTGCAGAAACTAAGAAAATCTATCCTTAAAGAAAAATATTACAGGAAAAGATAAAGGAACTGTTTAAACAAGATATATATGCCTTTGCTGTACAAAGTTGTAACAGTAGCTTACTGAATAATGTTAGTCACATAGCTATGCCATAGCTCTGACAATTAAAATAGAAATACAAGATAGTTGCATGGTTTGAAAGCAATACAGCCATGTCTAGAATCTTTTTATGTATGCGATTTAGAGACAACTGTATGGATGAGAGAAGGAGATCACTGCATTGCTGTATGCAAAAATATAAGTAAACCTTTGCCTCTCCCTGTCAGTTTCCCAGATTCTTACTTGGAAATTTCATGTACTAAAACAAAATTTCAAATTTACTCAAGATTAAGCAACAAAAGTTCTCTAAGTATAGTTTGGATAGTTACTCCAGCATAAGGTGTGCCAAATTTTTCCTGTTCATATCAAACGACGCAACTTTTATTAGAATTCAGGTAAAAATGGAACATATTGTACATAGTGGAGATACAATCAAAAAGCATATTGAGTAGGTGGAAGAACCAAGATTTAGGAAGTCAGAGGATAGAACATAAAACAATTTTAGTGGAATAAGATGACATTTTAGCCTAACCTTTTAATCTCTATGGAATGCCATCAAATTACAAGCAACACCAAAAAAATCAATGAAACCTAATACTTGAGACGCAGATTTCTGTTAACATTATTAAAAGCAATAGCATCAAAAATACATTTCTGCACAGAAATACAGGTATAGAAGCTAAGCGTCTTACTGCTCAGAGGACAAAGTGGTAAAAAAAAATCAACAGAATACATCCAAAGTTATTCTTACAATTGGAAGAAAGATTCTGTAATTTTTATATCAATAATTGCTGTCAATCCTAATTCTTAAGCTAGAGCTATAAGGCCAGGGGTCCCCAAACATGGCAACTTTAAGACTTATGGGCTTCAACTCCCACAAGTCTTAAAGTTGCCAAGCTTGGAGAACTCTGTATAAGGGCAAAGATTCTTTTTCTGGATTGTTTGCATGAATGCACCTTAAGCACTATTAAACATGTATTAAACATGGTCAGGAGGCAGGGATTGTACCTAATTGGCTCTAGCTAAGTGCAAAAAGTTAAGCTGCATCAGATCTAATATACTTGGGGTGGTAGATGTCCAAGGAACCCCCAGAACTATAGGTTAGACTGGGAAGTAAAACAGAATCCCAGAAAGTTGCAAGGATACACTATACTTTTCTATTATTGCTGGAATCAATTACATAGAAACCTCTAGGCAACTACCAGGAATCAAGTCCAGCTCTAGAGAGCTTACTTTTTAGTAGTCCAAAATATCTAGAAGACCATCTGAGGGCTTATAAGGTCTAGGGTAGAAATGGGAAACCAAGTTCTAGTTCTCCCTTAAATGTGAAAAACAAGTAGGGAACCTCGATCAAATCATTCCTTCTCAGTCCAAAAGAGTTTTGGGTTCTAACAAGCTGGTGATAAGTTGAATCTCTCGTCACTCCATGGTGAGTCAGGTTGGCTATAAGAACTACAGCAAGCCTAGTGCAAAAGAAGCAAATCGTGTAACAAAGCAGGACAAAGGCTCAAAAGAACAGCATGCCAATGCTTCCTTCCATTAATAAAGAGGCTCATGACGGCTCATTGTTAATACTTCTCAAGGGCTGTGATCAGAAAATGTTTCTAATTTTAACATATTTTGCTGAGACGGCAATAATACGCTTTCGTTGCATCAGAGAATCACTTGGCAATCATTGTTTGGACACTGAACCTTCTGTAACAGGAAATATACACGTGACATTCAAATTATGGCACAATACCATATTTGATTGATGTCTTGAGTTATTTGATTATCTCCTGGGTCATTCATTTATTTTCCAATTGGACAATCGGTTTTGCTTAATGCATAGGATGTACGATATGTTAGAAAATAATAGATAGTTGGGTTCTAAGACACTTGTTTGTAAGTGGAACTAGTTGGTTCCTCAGGAACAAGAAAACCGGTCTTCAAACAAGGAGAAAAATGCTCATTTAGAAGGATCTGTGCTGCTTTGCCCAGAAATACCTCTGCAAACAGTTAGGTTTTTTAAAAGAAAAGTTAGTGCGTTCTTATATAAATGGAAATTGCTCACTTTTTTTTAAAGCTACTTTTCATGGTTGCTGTGACTCACCTCCCCAAGAAAACATTAAGCTTAAGAACAAAGGACAAGGATACACATTTTTATGCAGTAGATAATACCAGATAACAAAATGTACCACTTAAAATAAGAGGGTGTAAATGGAATGTATTGCCAAAAAAAAAAAAGGAACAAATGGGAACAATCCTGATTTTCTCAGTATGTTTTTTAGCTCCCACATTCACAAAGCTCATCTCAGGATGAAAAAGGCTGGTTGAATTGCACAAGGCATTATTTAGAAACTGTCCATTCCTAAAAAAATATTTCTGGTATACTGAATGAGCCACTCCATATAGGTTCTGTAAAGTGTCAGAGGGGTAACCAAATCCGGCTAGACTGAAGGAGCTTCCACAAAGTAGAAAATGTAATTTCTCCTGGTGGGGTTTTTTTTTTTTTTTTTTTGGACACCTGGTTCAGATTACCCTGTTATCAGTGCACTTCTACTACATCCAGCCTTGAAGAGGCCTTTATCTACCATTTAAGACTCTGGAATGTAGGGAAATCTAATAAGCGAATCCTCTAATAGAGTGTTGCAATGCTGGGCCCATTGCATTTGGCAGCGTGTCTGCCAGCTAAACATATGCTTAATGTATGCAGATTCCCCTTGCTATAATTTGTACAATCTGGTCCTTAATAAGTTTTAGACGGGCAGGCATCTTTTTCTAATAAGAAGCATTCTTTCCATGGATTCTCCAGTCTGCGCTCCCAGTAATTAACAGCAGTCACAAAAGCAGTAACTATAACCCTTCCTCTTTAAACGCTGCAAAATAACTCTTCATGTTAGTCATAACAGAATAGAAAAAGCTGGAAGAAACATGGCACTTGATGCTGAGACTCAGTGCAACCACCGGTTCTCTGCCTGCAAGGAGAAGGAGAGCTTGGTGCAGGACATCTCTTGGTCCCCGTTGCTCAACACAACTCTCATCCTATAGTCTCCATTGGTGAGGAAAGAAGGCAAATCCATGTTGGGTATGAAGAATTCAGAGGAAGGAAGGTTGTAGGTACCCTGAAAAGAAAGACAAACGATCCCATCAGTCTCCATAACACTGATACACTGCCTTTCCCTGTCTATCTGACTATAATTTCAGTACCAATAAACACCAAGGATATCTTTTAAAACAGGAGCAGAAATGAGGAAGAATTTACAGGATAAACTACTGAAATAGCTCTTTCAGTGTAATCAGTAAAAGACCAATGCAAATTGCTTAAACAAAATTCCACGTTTGAACATAACCCAGTATGGAAAATTCTACTTTCTGCTTCTATATTGTTATTCAAGTTCTAGAAGCAGTTGTGGATAGTCAACAGTTGTGGGCCTAGGACATTTAAGCTCCTACCATTGGCTGCGCCTGCTTCTTCTCCAGGATTTGCTGACCGAGACAGTTCGCTGCCAGCCAATTGGCTGACTGCCAATGGTGGTAGTCACGACACAATTGGTCCATGGGCTGGGAAGGCCAAACGCCTGAGACAAACTGTATTTCGACGAATGGAGCATGTCGAGGGGCCTGGGAATGGAGGGGCTGTGGCCCATTGGCCAAGGCGGAAGGATGGGGGTGGGCCAGCCAAGGAGAAAAGCTAGTGGATAATAACATGGAGGCGAAACCCTGGAGGAGAAGCAGGCATGGCCAACAGTAGGAGCCTAAAAGTCCCATTCTGGACAGCTGCTATCTAGCAAATTTTCTATAGCCTGATACGCTGGCTAGCTCCTCTGAGAAAAAGGATAACTACTATGGCAAGGTGGATTGCTAAAAGCAGATTTGAAAAAGAATTTGGAAATTAACACAGGCAGAATAGTGAAGAGCAACAGAATTGGGCTGAAATGGGGCAAAATAAGTAACTCTGGGAAACTGGCACATGGATTGCATTTTGTGATCATAGTAAGCCATATGCTTTCACAGAAAATCTGGATTCCCCTTTGAAAGATGCCCAGTTCTATTTGCAAGTTAATTCCTTTATTTTAATGCATCATTATATTTTAATTGATAAGTTTTCACAGAGATGCTCTGCATTACGGGCCACCTGAATGTATTCCTTTTGTAATTGTAAGGCTGAGGTTAGGTAAATACCGGTTAGTAAAAAAAATCAACACCCCAAAATCTTAGAGCAAGATTTGACTATAGCTGAAAATCCTCGCAAGTCTATCATCTACTTCTGGACAGAGCTGCATGAATGGAGGCACACAATTATTGGAGGTGCACAACTTTATGGAGAGAGAAGTGTAAGGAGCTGCTGATGCCCAAAGAATTTTGTTGCTGTGTTTCCAAGATTAAGAAAGAAAAAGAGGAAGAGGGCTCACCGCTTTGAACGGGCAGTGACATGGAAGGCCGTAAGTTTGCAATGGCTGTGGACATGGCTGGCCTGGAGGGAAGAGACTGTCCAGCATGGCGCAAGTATCATCATAGGTACAGCTCCCAATATCATCCACACAAGGGACTTTGATCCATATATCTCCAAGCTTCTTCTCCAGTATGACAATTGCCTGGAAATAGACGTGAGCATTAATATTCTATGGAAAATTTCTTCCTATAATTAATACAACCTGGTGTTTCTCTCCCTACCCCCCCCACCCCCACCCCAAATAGCATGTTGACAGCAAATTAGTTAAAATAACTTGAGAAATCAGTGATTGCACAGTCAATTCTCTCTTTAAAAAAAAAAAAGTTTTATTGAGTTTTAACAAAACAAATAAAACATCTTATTTGAGTACAGCATCGTTCCAGGTTATCACATTTCCATACAAACACAATTTCATATGCATATTAATCTTATGTATTATTCTATTTCATATCTTATTACTCTTTTTCCAGCTTCTCACTATTTCACCCTTTACTTCTCTTAATTTTCTTTTATGGTTATCTCATTTTCGTCTTATTCAATTGTATTTCTTTTACCTAAATTTCTGTATCTTTTTATTCATTGTATTTATACTTTCGTCTGTCTTGTTTACAATTTCATATGTTCTCTTCCAACATTCTTAAGAAGCAAAATTCCCCCTATGATTGCCAATCGAAGTGCAACACCTTTAAATTTTATTGTTATTATCATATGACATCTCATTAAACATTGAATTTGTGCGTTCTAAAATTATAACATTCAAATTTCTAATATCTATTTTATATCATGTAGATCTCATCATTCAGACTCTCCTTGGTACTTCCCCTTGAAAATGTAAAAAGAAAAATTCTAAAAACATAACAAAAACAATATATATATATATTTATTTATTTATTTTCTGAGGTTCTCGCGGGTATTTGTATGTGGATCTTTGGTTGTTCGGGTTTTCTCCCGCGTAAGATTCGAAGTATCTAGGCAACGTTTCGATGAAGTCTCATTCATCATCTTCAGGCTTCTGTCTCCGGCTCTGTGCTTCTCAGCCAAACCCCCTACCAATGAGAACACACCCCCACCCAATCAGAACACAGCCAAGCCCCCACCCAATCAAGTCCCACCCCCACTGGCAGTTAAAAGGAGGAAGCAGCTGCAATCTCACATTACTCTGAGAAGCACAGAGCCGGAGACAGAAGCCTGAAGATGATGAATGAGACTTCATCGAAACGTTGCCTAGATACTTCCAATCTTACGTGGGAGAAAACCCGAAT